CACGTACTACACACACACACACACACACAGAGAGACACACAAGGTAGAATTATGCCGGGTGTGTTGATATATCACAGGCGTAGCGTGTCGGGATTTCACGTGGCTCGCGAATTATTTATTATGCTCGGAGCTCTCAGTCAAGATAAGAATGAAGAAATGAATAAATTTATAAATGAACGTAAACGTAAAGAATCATCTATTTATACAATATATAATATTATATTAAAATATTATATATATAACGACGGTGAAACGAAGTTGATTGATATTTGACAAATTTCCAAGTTTTTTCTATCGAAAGTGAGAGAGTGAGAGAGAGAAAGAGAGATAGTAATATAGTGTGTATGTGTGTGCATGTGTATGCGCGAGAAAGAGAGCGTGCGTGCGTGTGCGCGCGCGTTGAATGTGTGATTAAAAAAAAAGTATGAAAGATCGTATGCGTGCGTGTGGTATAATAATAATACACGGAACAATTGCAAGCAAAACAAAGAAAACGAGAGCGTATAGAGAAGAAAGGGACGAGAAACGAAAAAAAAGAGGACAAAATAAGAGACAAGTGAATTATAAATGACAAACACACACACACGAGTAAATATATTGTTGTATCTTTATTGTTGTTGTTGCATGAGACTAGCGTAATAGACTGAGCCATACACATGGTTAAATAATAACTATTAACATAATATTTCTTAATTAATACTATATTATTGTAATTATTATACGGTGTGTATTATATTTAATCGTAATGTTTCGTGCAGGCAGCGTTAGGAGCGAGTTCCCGTCCCCTCGATGATAGAGAACGGGGGGGCAAAAAAGAAAAAAAATACAGACATCCCTGTTATCCGAACGCTTGCACCGCCGCAACCCTCCGGCGTAAATCAGGGCCGTAGGAGCGACACGAAGCACACGGGATATCGGATATAGGAAGATCACTAAACGATCTGAACGGACGCAAAAATCAATTGCTGCTTTTTACTAGAGAGTTTTACATTTCTCCTCGAATTGTATTATATACAGTTGTGCGTGTGTATGTCTCTGCGTATGTATACATAATATATATATATATACATGTTCTTCAAATTCCAATCGAGAAGCACTCGAGGAGTGGCGATCCGAACTTAGAAATCTTGCTGCTAGGACAATTTTATTTTCGAGGCTGATTTTAAGCTGGATCATTCTTATTTTAAATGAATTAATTAATTAATTTACACATTCGCGTGAAAATTCGTCAAATCAAATTCGAACAATTTTATTGATTGGATAATTTCGATGCTGTTCAATTTTCCATACGGGACTTCCACCCGGGACTTTAAAAAGAACTAATCGATGATAAAAAAGAAAAGGAAACTGCGAAGGTTCTTCTCGATTGGATCGCGCGACGAAAAACAAACAGCATCCTCGACATTCGATCGGAGGATGGGAACTTCGTGGGGCTGTTCCTAGTACCTGATTATCCTATCCTTGCGGCACGAACGAACGCATGATCGGCAATTATCGGCACGCGATCCTCTCGTTATTCTTAAAAAAAGAAGGAAAAAACAAAAAAAAAGCTCGAGGCTCTCTGTTCTCTCGCGTCTCGCAAGCGCCAGCGAATCCCTCTGTCCAGTGTCTCACACTCGGTATAGAGAAAAACGTAAAAAACAACACGGAGTTCTTTTTTATTGTCGCATACCTTGACACATAACCTAGTACTTAAGCGCACGCGCGACGAACCGCACGGTAAAAGTCCCGACGCCTGAACGAACGCTATCGTCGCCGCGGAACCGCAAGTAAGTTCGCTTTCGCATGGTAGCACGGGAATGGTACTTACGGACCCTCTGCTGTTTCTTTCTTGGTGCTGTCCGTCGGTGAAAAAAAAACAAAAAAAACTATAACCGTATTCCTTCTGCAAATTTTTGTGAGACGGCGACGCCAAGCAAAAAAAAATCATTTGACATCCGACTCATCGAAATTCATTTTTATCTCGACGCTGAATTGTTGAAAAAAGAAAAGAGAAACAAAGAAAAAGTTGTAATTTCTTTACAGAAATCTGCGGTTTATTTTTCTATTTTACTTCGATAAAACAGTTTCGCGAAGCAATACAGGGTGTCTGAAAAATGTCTAATCCTGAAATTACGGGTTCCTCGGATCATTTGAAGCAACTTCTTCCTTTGCAAAAATGTTCTTCGAGGCACCGTTAACGAGTTATCAACGAAAAACAGTGCGCCANCTCTCGCGTCTCGCAAGCGCCAGCGAATCCCTCTGTCCAGTGTCTCACACTCGGTATAGAGAAAAACGTAAAAAACAACACGGAGTTCTTTTTTATTGTCGCATACCTTGACACATAACCTAGTACTTAAGCGCACGCGCGACGAACCGCACGGTAAAAGTCCCGACGCCTGAACGAACGCTATCGTCGCCGCGGAACCGCAAGTAAGTTCGCTTTCGCATGGTAGCACGGGAATGGTACTTACGGACCCTCTGCTGTTTCTTTCTTGGTGCTGTCCGTCGGTGAAAAAAAAACAAAAAAAACTATAACCGTATTCCTTCTGCAAATTTTTGTGAGACGGCGACGCCAAGCAAAAAAAAATCATTTGACATCCGACTCATCGAAATTCATTTTTATCTCGACGCTGAATTGTTGAAAAAAGAAAAGAGAAACAAAGAAAAAGTTGTAATTTCTTTACAGAAATCTGCGGTTTATTTTTCTATTTTACTTCGATAAAACAGTTTCGCGAAGCAATACAGGGTGTCTGAAAAATGTCTAATCCTGAAATTACGGGTTCCTCGGATCATTTGAAGCAACTTCTTCCTTTGCAAAAATGTTCTTCGAGGCACCGTTAACGAGTTATCAACGAAAAACAGTGCGCCAATAAGAATCGAGTACGACTGACGCGAGGCGGCCCAGCCAACCGGCGCGCGAAGCCCGGTTCCACTCATTGGCGCACTGTTTTTCGTTGATAACTCGTTAACGGTACCTCGGAGAAAATTGTTGTAAAGGAAAAAGTTGCTTCGAACGACCCGAGGAACCCGCCACTTTCGGATTGCGAGACATTTTTGGGACAGCCTGTATATGATTAGCCAGGAACAAGCAAAAAGGAGAAACCAAGTAACGGATTAAAAAATAAAGGGAATACCATATGTAGAAGGATCGTCGTCGCTCTCTTTTGTTTGCAAGAATCGGTTCTGTTGAACGATATAAAAAGCTCGCCTTGCATCCGCATGGACAGCACTGTTCCACACACACGAACTCGTCGTTAGACTGAATTTAATGCATTTATGCCAGTTGAACGAGGTCGTCGTTCCTCTAGTTTTAATGGAAGCTTTTGGTAGAGACAAGCGAAGAAGAAGAAGGAGGAGGAGGAGAAGGGGAAGAAGAAGTTTCGAATACCGTTTTTCGGCGAAGTCGATCTCGGTGAAAGACCGATCACTGCGTGAACCGTGTATACAAAAACAACTCGGCACAAAAGCGTCGTCGGAGAAACAAAACAAATGAGCCGTTTATTTTGAAAGCGGCATAAGTCACTTTGTTTTTAAGTAAAAAATATTTAAGGGTTTGCGTTTTAACACGTTTAAAAATATGGATGCTAACTTTCGATGCCACTTTTAAAATAAACGGCTCAAATATATCCGTCGCGGCGCTTACAACACATATTTTACTCTGTCGAACGACGAAGGCGACATCGTTCATCGGTTGTGAAACGAACAACAACAACGCTGAAGCGGCGAACGAGCAACGTGATACTCGAACGGGACGAAGAAGGGTGGGGGGGGGGGCTGAAACAGAGGACAACGCCGCTACTCAGTATTGTATATCGGTATAAGCTTCTGGCAATCGTCTAATTGTGATCACTAAATTTATTTTATGCTGTCGGTTGACAATTTATTATTATTATTATTATTACTATTATTATTATAATTATTGTTGTTGTTGTTGTAATTGATAGATGGAGTCGAGACTCTCCTGCTCACATTATCATCGATAGGAAATTGCGATCCTCGAGGCCCGTGATAAACAGAGTCAGCTTTTTATTGTAAAACAGAGCAACAAATGAAAAAAAAGAAAAAACAAAACAAAATTACCTTCGAAGCACACAGAGACCGATTGGGGATGACTTCTGGTCGCCGAAATTCTCCGGGACTTTTTGATCGCTCGAGATCGACGATTCACAATTCTCCGTTCCGATCTCTCGAGATCGATAAAAAAAAAATAAATCGTCTGCTGACCGTTCTCATTCGAAGAAACGCTGTTCTGAGCGGTCAGAGAGTTCCGAGGACCAAGATCAAAGCGGGGGGGGGGGGGGGGCACCAAAAGAGAAAATAGGGACGTCCCCTTTTTTCTCTCTCTTCATTCAGATAGTATTTAAGCTCCATCGTGTGTACATCGTAAGTCCGTCGCGAGGACTCTCCACCACCGACTACTTCCGGTCCAGCAAGACCTGCGCACCGGTGCACACGCTGTACATACGCACGCGCACAATCAAACCGATCCGTTAAACATCGTTTTACCTTTCGCCTGGCGGCTCTCTGTGTGCCAAGCGAGAGCGATCCGTGAGACTCGAAGAGCAATCCGAGATTCGAAGAAAGAAAGAAACGAAATAAATCTTGAGGAATAACAGCGTGTACCACAGCAACCGTTTGCGAGCATCTGTCCTTCTTTCCAGCTTCTATCCAGCGATCTTTCGATTCCTCTCGCGTTCAGAGCCATCTACTGGATCGTAACGAACGCGGCAGGAGTCTATTTGAAGAGTAAAACTCTCGACAGTTGCTCTACAGGGTGTCCCAAAAATGTCTCGTAATCTGGAAATGATGGATTGCTAAGGTGATTTGAAGTAACTTTTTCCTTAGTGAAAATTTTCTTCGACGCACCGTTCACGAGTTATCAGCGGAAAACGGTGACCAATGAGAGGTAAGCACTTGACCGGCGCGCGGCGGCCGAGCCAATGAGCGGAGCCGAGCTCCGCGCGCCCGTTGGCTGGGCTGCCTTGCGCCAGCCGAGCTCGCTTCTCATTAGTCACCGTTTTCCGCTGATAACTCGTGAACGGTGCGTCGGAGAAAATTTTCGGGACACCCTGTATAGAGCAACTGTCGAGAGTTTTACTCTCGGATGGACACCCGCGTTTAACAACACTCGCGGACGAATCGCGACCGTTTCGCGTTTCCGCGTCGCTCTACCTAATTTTAAAGCCTCGACGGACCGCTGTATTTACCTTGAAACCGAGAAATACCGCGCGAGCATCGTTCAATCGTGGACACGTATATTTTTCTATCGATTCCGTTTTATACGTCTTGACTGATTTTAGAGTATAAATCACGTTTATCGGTGCTCGATTACCGCGAAGAAGTGTACTACCTACGTAAGTATCTTTTTCGAAACTGTTCTTTTCCAAATAAACCGCTGTTGAAGCATCCACGCGAGACTCTTGATTCATCTTAGAAAAATTTTGTTCTAGCCTGTCCGCGCGACGCCAAATGTCCCGTTGCATTATTCTTTCGCGCGTTCTTTCGAACGGTTCACACGAATTTTCCGTGGAAACAGCCGTCCAAAACCGACGCGTCGAACGTGTGACGTCAGAGAATTACGACGCGCGCTGTAAACTCGTAATTGGACACTGCGCGTCGATTTTACGCGCCGATTTGGTTACGTCCGTTCGAAGAATGAAACCACGGAAGAACGTACGTCCCTGATATTTACACTACGTCGTACCAGTTACACGGAAGGGAAACGGCAAGCGTCGAGGAGGCGAAGGAAGGATCACGGTCCTCGTTGACCAGGAGAAAAATAAATTACGCGACGATAAAGGCTCGTTCGCAGGCTGGTCGTAGAGCGGCTGCTGCGTCGGAGGGCACGCGTGTCGCCGAGCACAAGACCCCCCTCCTTCTCCTCCCCACCACCACCGGTCTCTGCGTACAGCCTCAGGACGCCTCATAAACGTTTCTCGCAGTATCGCATAAAAGCTCCGGTAAAACGGCTCTCCACGTCCGATCGGTCTAACGGCCGGCTTAAGTGATTGCTTCTCTTCATTAGAGGCCGGGCTCGTTCCGTTCGAACTGATCCTTTTCCAGGCGGGGAAGGGGAGGGCAAAACTTGAGGGACAGGTGCGGTAATGGTCCGTATCCGAGGCGAGCCTCCCGTGTCCCGGCTCCTCGAAGGGGCTGCGGAGAGGCAGTTGCAGTCGATTTAACCCCTGCCCTCTTCCCACCACCCTCGAGACCGGCCCTCGAGACTATTACGCGAATTGATTCGGCATCGGATCTGCCCGGGGGCGGAAACACCGTTTAGCTCCTCGTTTCTTCGACTCCGAACTGCCCTGCCTCTCTATTCCTCCCAGTTTGCTCCTCGTTTATGCGATGCTGTCCGCTTCGCTGTCCCGCTTTGGGACAATCCTTCCGCCCCCCGCAAATTTCCCTGCCGACGTTGGAACGCGTACGACACGTTCTGACACGTTCACCGTGAACGCAGGTACCTTATTTATTTGTTATTATTTTTCTTCGTTATTCTCGTGAAACAGTTTCTTCGTTATTTGCTGATACGGTTCGTTTGTGATTTATCGATGATATCTTTTTTTGTAATCTACTGATGATACGCCTAATTTTGTTTTTACACGCTGTAGATGCGTTCCGGGAAAAATTGTTATTATTATATTATATATATATATAATATAATATAATATAATAATAGCACAATATTATTATTATTATGATTAGCGTGCATTGACTCATAAGAGTGAAAAGATAGAATTCACTTGGATTTTGTGAAGTTTTGATTATGAGACTTGTTTCAATAATATAATTTATTCAATCATTCTCCACGAGAGAGAAGAATTGTTGATTAAATGTGTATCGCCGAGAACAAACATTTCTCCGGTTCACGCTCCAATGTTTGTTGACAGAGGCGAAACAGTCGTCCTTGAAATTTCTACTGAATGGAACGAAGTCGCGTACAGAAGGAAATTGAATTTATTTTTCTAGACTGTTGTCGAGTCGGAAGCATCTAAAAATAGAACTTGGGCGTACTTTCGGTTGTGATTCATTGAAATGCTTTTTCTTCCTGATTCATTGATAGTTAGCACTATCGGATGAATTTCTAGGGATTTAACCGTTTGCAGTCGAGCGGCGACTTCTTAGGCGTCGCTAAAAATGGTTAGGTTACGTTTGAAAATAAAATGTTGACGTTATCCTAATTTTGTTTATATCTATGAAACTCTTGAATAGCATAATTGTTGCACGTGTCGCAAAATTCTATTTCATATATAATATAAAAGCACTATAGGTTAGAGAAACTATTTTGGATTTCGAGTGCTATAAAATGGCTCCGACACTGGGTTAATATCTGTTAGTATAATATATATATATTTTTAATATCTATATCTATATTTTTTTAATATCTTTTAGTATACAAATTTAATTTTATCATTTTCCATGGATAAAGTTTCAGTTCAAGTTTTGCTATGCCGATATATTTATACATATCTTTTATTAAATGGTGCAGTGATACTGATCGAACGGAAAATGCTCCTGTAATTATTTTTTGGTATACTCAATATTAATTATTGAGCTTGTGGACAGCAAGATATTAAGGAGCTAGAAACGGTCGCATCTGTTAAACTGCAAGCGGAGAAACAAACGGTAGGTAATACATAGGCATATAGTGAATTTTTATTATATAATAAAATTATAATAAATAATTATATTATATGATATATAATATATATTATATTATAATTAATTATTTATATATATTATTATTACAATTAATTAATATATATTATATTATATAATAAATAATTTATTATATAATCAAACTATGTTTGCAGTCCTGACGTCGCCACTATGTCAACGTTCGTCTTCGAAGGGTTAATCTGACTCGATCCTGGTAGACTAAACAAATTCCTTTCACTTACATTCCAGTACCTAAAAAGTCTTCTCAGGCATATTCAAGTCTTCCTACGCATAAAAGTCTTCCCGACATAACCTGTGTGTCAGTGTCACGCCTGTAAAGGTATCAACTTTTTCACGTTAGATAATTTTGACTAACCTTTTTCACTAACGAGTATTTAGAAAGACATCTTATAGTCGCATTCCTCAAACATGATACCCATTACACACATTTTAACCCTTTCATAGGCCAATATAAATTTTCAAGAATACAATTTCAGTTCAATTAGAATTTTCAACGGTGAGAATAATTGAGCCTAGTGGTCCACATGCGCACTAAAAGTGGGTATGAAGCATAATTCTCATTGTCTATGAAAGGGTTAAGCAGATCTGTTTCACTGAAAACATCACCATAACCCTACATGCTTAAAATAAAAAGGTAAAAAAATGTGCACAGAATTTTAAACATATATTTTTATACTTTCAATATTTTATTCCCGGAGGTATCTGGTACGTATTGTCCAACAATATTGCGTAAATAAATATATAACAGTAAAAAATGGCACCTACTTACAGCACTTATTCTTACAGGGACACGAAATGACTCTTTCTCGAGCAGACCTTAGACCTTCCAGTACCATAAGCGTCCTAGGGCTGATATCGCCACCTATACAAAATGTCTCGAAGGTGTCTCGCAATCCGGAAATGGAAGGTTCCCGAGGTCATTCGAAGCAAATTTTTCCTTTACAAAAATATTCTCCGTGACTTCGTTCACGAGTTATTAACGAAAAACACTGACCAATAAGAGGCGAGCCGCGGCTGGCGCGCTGCGGCCGAGCCAACGAGCGCACGGAGCCCGGATCCGCTCATTGGCTCGGCCGTCTCGCGCCGAATGATCTCGCCTCTGATTGGCGCACTGTTTTTCGTTAATATCTCGTAAACGAAGCCGCGGATCGCATTTTCGCAAAGGAAAAAGTTGCTTCAAAAGACCTCAAGAATCCTCTACTTCCGGATTGCGAGACATTTTCGGGAGTCCATGTATACCAAGATCATAGAACCGATCCAGGAAAATGGAAAACAATACGGAAGCGTTTAAACCGACGTGGAACCGCGCGGAGGATATTCGGCCCCTCTTATCCCGGCGTCCGTAAACACGAGGAGGGGGTTACAGGGATAGAGAACGGTCAGCCAAGAAGCAAGAAATCAATCGTCCATAGCCGGGCGCGGAAGAGCAAGCGGAAGGGATGTTAGAGGACTGGAAAATAATTCACGCGGGAACGTCGCTATCCAGCTACGGCACTGACTGGCGGGCCAAGGGGCTGGTTGGTTGCCTCTGCTGCACCCACCGCCCCCGCCCCTTAATCTAATCCAAGGATAATCTAAAATTCATGACACACATAACTGCCAGGCGATGATATATCTGGTGGGGGTGTGGAGGCACCGTCTTTCCTCTCGCACCCCCCCGTCGGTCCATTCGCTCTCCCGCGCGAACCACCCTCCGCTACCCTCCGCCGCCGCTCTACGTACCTATTGCACGGTCTACCGGCGAGTTTCTCGCAATCACTGGTATTATTATTTCATGTATCACGGTCGGGCACCGGTTCGCCTTCCGGTAAATCGCAATATCGCGAGGCCTCGCTATTTATCAATCCTCGCCGACTGATAACCGTAACATTTTATCTGCCGGCGTTTTTCTTGTTGTTTTTTCTTTTCTTTTTCTTTTTACTCAGCGAGCCGATAGCGCCGGCAATGCCTCTCCCTTAGGCAACGGCTTTTTACGGATAACGTTGCTCCGAAGAATTCTGATTAAAAGCGCGTGAAAATTAAAAGCGTTTCTCAGAGGCTGCGTCGACTTGCTGCGTCGACACGCGAGCAATCATTTCTTGGAACTCTTTCATTTGTGATTTCTATCGAGGCTTGCGATACTATCGATACGATTTTATTCGACGCTTATTTATACTGAGAATTAGCGCAAGAGCATGGTCGCTGGACTGCAATATAAAAATTGTCCGCGTTAATTGTAAGAGATAGAAATTGTGTAGCACGTTCATTCTTTCTTTAAATATTTTTTAATTATTAAATTTAAAGGATAGGATTAAAGCGAATTTTAAATTAATAAGCGAATTAAATTAAAAGCGAATATAAAATTAAAAGGAATATATTTATAGGAATATATATATATAATTGAAAGTGATATATTGATATTTTAAAATTATTTTTCTTCTATCGCTTTCAATAGTACTTAAATTTGCCATAAATGAATAAAATCCGCAGTCCAGTGATCATTAATAGTGATATGAGTGTAGATGCGTTGAAAAGCGATGATCTGAATGGAGGAATTTAAGAAGATCAATGTATAAAACTCGATTAACCCTTTGTACTCGAAAGTCAGTTTTCGGAATCATTTTTACATTGCTGAATTTACGCGGCTATAAAAAGATTATTGTAGCAGCAACTGAGCTCAATTGCAAATATGCGTAGAATGCAAAAATGAAAAGGGTTAAATCTTGTAATCGATTTAAAAGCAATTTTCATTGCGTATCAAGATCCGGAATCTAACGATCCTGGTACAGTCGACGGCAAAAATGTGTAAATAATTCATAACTTGAAGCAGAATGAATGAATTGAATGAATTGAATTCAGTATACTAGTTTACATATGATATACTTGTTATGAAAATTAGACATTTTCGTAGTACTCTAGTTAATTAGATTATTGTGCAAAGAATTGTTAGAGAATTATTAGACTGCGGACACTATGCGCTTCTTTGCAAAAATAAATTGCTGAAAAGACTGAAATAGCGAAAAGGCTAGAAAACTTAAAAATAAATTCAAGAATGTATGAATCTTCATTTATTTAAAAATTGAAATTGTTTAAGAAAGGCGAAGGCAAGTCTTGTTTCGCACAGCGGTCCGCACAGTCGAATGATTACAAACAACTAGGACATTTTTCTGCGAATGAAATTGACCGGTGCGGCGTGTTTTTAATCGTTCGGTTGCGTGTCCGAACGTCGGAAAACTGACGGACGGTTTTTCCGTTAGGAGAACGAGAAGCGACGAGCGACGGCGATAATTGTTTTACCATCTTTATCCGCGTCGTTGAAAACGGAGTCGCGTGATCGAGTTAATCGACGGTGTAATTTGAATAATTTATTCGAGCCCGACAAACCGAATTGTTGCTCATTACGCGTTCATGGGCTGCTCGGTTAACCGATTGATTATCCTGTCCGGCGTGCGCCGATATCCGGGGTAAATAGTCGATTTAACCGTGACGGGGCGGGGAGAGGGGGGGGGGGTAGGTCGTAGCCGTTCGTTCCGTGTCCACGGCTGGTAATTATTTCCAGTGTCGACAACAAGCGAAATCGGGGTACAGCGACGCCCGACGTCGCTGCGATATCGAATCACGAATTATTGGTCTGACGATTAATTTGCCTCGTTAATTCATTAACCGGCCGCGGACTCCGCCGTCGACTCGAAAAAGGTTTGCTTTAAAACAGCGGCAACGGCAACTGTTTGCGCCTCGTTCACA